TACATACTGATTTTCATATACATAAAACTTCATGGATATATTTTTTCCAGTCTTCTCAAATAGATATTAATTCTTTTCAGGTACTTTCAGGAATATTAAGAGAGATCATATTTTTCTTTAACTTTGGAATGCTTTCTTGTTGTTTTTAAGCTCCAGAGTCACAGATATTTCAGCTAATATGATCTCTGTGAAAAGAGGAAAAAATTCGTTTAGATAACACTCAGTGTTTCAAGGTCAATCATTTATTTCCTAATTGAGATTCTGTTTAAGATGATTTTTAAGGGGCTGGAGAGATGGCTCAGAGGTTAAGAGTACTGGCTACTCTTGCAGAGGACCTGGGTTCAATTGCCAGCACCCACATGGTAACTGACAACCACCCTTAACTCCAGTTCCAGGGGATTTGATGCCCTCTTCTGACCTCTATGGCACTGCATGACATGGGTGCACTCACATACATGCAGGCAATACCCTTATACACATAAAATAAAAATAATAAATAAAATATTTTTTAAAGATGATTTTTTTTGTCTTTTTGAGACAGGGTCTCCCTGTAGCCCCAGCTGTCCTGGAACTCACTATGTAGACCAGGCTGGCCTTGAACTCACAGAGATCCACCTGCCTCTGACTCATGAGTGCTGGGATTAAAGGTTTAATTCTTAGAATAAAATTGTTAGGAAATTGATAGAAAAAAATGTCACGGTAATAAATTTTATTTTCCATTCTCTTTCTATCCAAGAATTTGTACTTGTCTCAGTCATTAATTTCTGAAACCATTAGTAATATCAACAGTTACAAAGAGAAAATATATGTGGTGTACTTCAATTGGTGAGTGTTTCTAGTACCCCAGGTGTCTTCTAAGACCATCCTACCATCTGTGTGAAAGGGAAGCTCTAGTCTTCTCCCCTGGAAGGCTTTCCCAAGGCAAAAACTTGCTATTTATTTAGTATTTTATCTTTGTAAACCATAATGGCTGTCTTGTGTAGAAACTGAGAATCAAGTTTTTCTTGATGCAACAAGTTTCTCCACATCTAAAGATCAATGTACTTAAATTGACCCATTCTCTCTTTAATTAATGTTTATGTTATGAATTATCCATTTTAGCCCCATTCTTCTTAAGTTCTTACCTGTTCCAGTCTACCTCCCAGTAGCTCCCCCCTTAGTAAGTGAAGACTGGGCTAAAGACGTGGCTTAGTGACATAGTGCATGCTCAGGGTTGTATGAAAACCTAGATTCAGTCCCTAGTGCCATAAGGATGATACTAAGTGAAGATTGCTTGGGCAGATGTGCACACATGTGCAGATATGTGAGGCATGGTGGGGGATGGGGCTTGAGGATGTGGGTGTCTCTGGAGATAGTGGACACTCCATGTTGACTAATGCTGCTTCATACAGTGGTGAATGAAGGTGAGTGAAAGAGTCTTCAAGTTTCCACATCCACCCACTTTAGAACCTACTGTGGCCAAACAACCACTTATCAAACACTGGCAGGAACGGTAGGATGAGAAGAACGCTGAGATTCTCCAACAGATGTTTTCCAAGAGGCGTGCCATCATCAGCCCATCCACCATGCCTTCATTCTGCTGAACATTGGCAAATGTTCCTCAGCATCAGACCATTGCTACCCTGTGTATATACATCGAATTCAAATTATATCTTTATTTCTTTTAATTTCAAAATAGTTTCAGACCACTCTGGTTTACTTATGCAAATGTCACAATTATATTCAACTGAAATTCTTTCCTCCAATACAGTGAAGAACATAATTATATACATGTATAATATATAATTCATTATTATACTTTTTCATTATCTTTGACAAAATATGCTGTCCCTTAATGTGATTTACAATATTTTTTCAAATGCCCCACTCTGTGCCTCCTTTTTTGCCTTTTTTTTGTAATAAAGAGAGTTTTGTGTGTGTTTTACCTAGCTCCCTAAGTTTGGCTAGTAACAAAGGAAATAACTAGAAAAAGCTTTCATTGTTTCATTGTTATGCTATCCACATCTTTCAGAGTTTCATAAAACTTTGTTATCACCCAAAGAGGAAAATATACATGAATATAATTTCCCATAAAATTTGAGGTTCTTCATAGACTTCCTTGGACCTGATTTTATGATAGCTGCTTTAGAACCAAATTCTGAATGAAAGGAATCAAATGATTATTAAATGTAAAATAAAAATAAATCTATAAACTTACATGATTCCTATGTTAGTAATTTTTAATTGTGTTACAATTTATAATATGCTCAATTAAGAAATTAAAACAATATTATGAATTGAAACTTAGGAAGTAAAAGAAGAAAGACTAGTTAAAATAAGTTCAAGTTACTACCTTTAAATATGACCTGAAATGACCAACAAAAACACATGAGCAGGGTGAAAACTGGTGAGTTAAGAGATATCAAACTTATCACTGTCAAAATAGCCACCAAGTTATAAAACTGTCAACCAATCAATAAATTCATGAGAAACCAGAATCATCATAAATAATCTATAATGTATTTTGATTTTTACTTGTAACATGAAGGAAAGAGGAGACACTGAGTCCACTTTGTGAGGCATTCATGAGTCAGCAGATTTACCTTTGTCACAGTGGCCGAGCCAAGTTCCCTGCTTCACTGCTTTAGAAATTTCAAATCTCTGAACAGACATCCATCTCCACTAAGGTCTCCAAGAAGCCATACACTAAAGAGAGGTAGCATGTTCCTCCAGAAGACTCCCTAGATGCTGGCATACAGACACCTGTTTATCTGGACCATATAGGTCTGGTGACTATGCGGCCACCTCCCCTAGTAAGGCCATCATGTGGCCTACTCCCTTGATGCTCCTGTCCCAACATCCATGTCACAAATTTTTTACTTAAGACCACAGTAGATGGAGTCAGGATGGGAATCCAGCAAATGAGTCCAGATTACTTCTGATGGAACAGTGACAATTTCATTCAAATCCAGGCTCAAAATGGCAAATTAATTTCTAACAGTTCCCTTACAGAATCAGGAATCTACCTTACTAAAGCTAGTATATTATCTTCCATTGCTGCAAATGATGTTAGCAGCATTTTGAGGAGCATTCCCAGGCACTAAGGGGGAGCTTTCATTTCAAATAGGCCAGCTGAGAATTTCCCCCTGTTGTGGAGGCATCTCAGTTCTGCCCTCACTGATTGCTGATCCCTTGGGTAACAGAAAATGAGAACTTTAGTGAATTGGCTCTCTCCCTAAGGGCATCCACCAAGACCTAAAGCATGATTTGGAATAAAATTTAGGCAAAGCGAAACATTAACAGACAAAATGCATCAGGCATTGCTAGAATTCCTTTATTATTTTTTGTAGCATTTTATTTTTGATGTTGGTTGATATCTAGTTACATATCAGACCAGCATCTCTGATACATGCAAGGAATCTGGTTTGGCTTAATTACATATGACTCAGAACATGAGGTGGAAGTTTCAATTTGTTATGTACTTCCTGAGCTTCCCTTTCTTACTTTGGAGACTGTTTTAAAAGAAAAATTAAAATATTTTATACACATCAAATGAGCAATTATTTCTGCTGATGCAATTAAAAAATGCTCTCTATGGATTTGGGGATTCAGTTCCAAAGAAAGCATATTTTCTTCTATCCCAAAAGAACCAATTGCATTGCAAAGTTATAATGATATGAACTCTGCTTTGTGAGACCAGTATTGGGACTTGTTATGATTCTGCATCCTTGTCTCACCCAGAGAGTGCCATTTGATAGTTTATCCCTAGCCTGTATGGTTTTTAAACTCCAGTTTCTTCTGTTTTATTATCCCGCCAAACAGGTTCTTCCCCGTCCTGTGGTCATCCTGTCGGTGGTCCATTCTATCAGTGGCGCTGTTGTGTGTGGTTTGCCGCATGGCGGTGTGTTGGTCAGTTGTCCTATGTATGACCTGATGCACCACTGGGTCTTAACTCTGTGTCTCTGTAACTGTTTGCGCTGCTAGCTGCTACACTGAAGCAACCCTGCTGATCTCAAGGCAGTCCACCCTTGATGATTTAGATGGACAAGATCCTGTTCCTAAAACAAGCGAGCGTGCTCGGCCTAGGCTCCGTAAAATGTTCAGCATGGATATGTCCTCCTCATCAGCTGACAGTGGCAGTTTAGCATCAAGGTGCTTAACTTGTGCATGCTTTATTCCATAATCTTACCTCCCTTCCCCATGGATGTCATTGCAAAATATGTTTGTGGAATGAACGTCAGTTTTCTTTCTTTTCTTTTTTTTTTTTTTGCCTTTCATTTGAAGACTTGGCATGACTAACAACAGCGTAACCACAGCCTTTGTTGAGATGTCGTTTCCAGGACAGCCCGCCAACTAACTGCCCCCTCTATTTTGTCTGTTAGGGATTGCTTAAAAATCCTGATTGTAAACAGTGTCCTCCCGTTTTTAATTTCACACTATTTATTTTCAAAGATATAACCCTCTATCCTACATTCAATTTAGGGCTTCTTAGGAAATTTTTTATGATTTTACATATATATGTATATGTATATATAAATATACCGGATGAACCCACACCCAAGAGCATTTGGGGAAAACAAATTAGACTCAATAGGCCTTAAAAAAAATAATAAAGGACATAAAGTCCAAGGAAGGGTGATAGGGACATAGAGGTGGATCTGCGAAGAGATAGGGAGGGGAGTCTGAATATGATCAAAATACATTGTATGAAATTCTCAAAGAATCAATAAAATAATATATATATATATGTATCATAGGGAAAAAAGTTCTAAAAATCTGCCAAACGTGGTATCAATTGATACAGAATAAATCTGTATGTATTTGATGTTCATTTCATGAGCAACATGAAAGTCATAACATATTTTACCATGGGCTTTTGAAAGGATATGATGAAGAAACACATCTCGCTTTTACAGCCTATCCCTTGCCTTGTTTGGAAAGAATTATTCTGGAATTAAAGTTTCCTCTGTAAATCCTGTCAGAAAACACATTCACTTAGAAATGAAACTATCTGCATATAACACCAAAACTCTTTTTTTTTTTCAACCTTAGAGTTGTTATCAGGGTCTCTAACTTCATTGCGTTTATTCTAACTTGAAAATGGTCCAATCCATGTAAAGGTGGTACCTTCTTTTTGCTGGTGGTTTTATATGTTGGCACTGTGCCACAGTCTGATGGGGCCTGGCATAAACAAGATACCTTGCCTTCTGAGACATCTTCTCTCAGGAACAAGTTTCCTATATCCTTCCAGTCTGCAGCATCTTGAAGGTGTCCTCAATCTCCAAGACCCACAGATGACCCCAACCCCCCAGGGACTATGTTTATCATCACTTACAGTCACATTGGAGGTTAGACCTGGTATAGATCTGGCTCCTGTGATCTGAAAATTCCCTAGAGTGATGGTCAATTTCCTGGCTTCCTAGGAGGCTGTGTATAACTAAGATGAATCTTAGCAAAAATCTGTTGAGGCCTGTCATTTCCAGAGCCTTCTGTACACTTAGGACCAAAGGCCTGGTCATGTTTAGCACTTGCATGACTATCCAGGGCTCTTCGGTCACAGGGTGCCACAGGAGGTATGTCACCCATTCATTCATCACTCACTGATATGTCTACACTGCTATCCAAAACAAGAGAAATGGCTATAACCTACGCATTTGAGAGTCTCAGTGTTGATGGAATCTACTTGCTAACATATGCCAGCCAGATACCAGTACATATTTCAAGATGTGACACACTGTACTCCTGCATCCACCAGATTCCAAATACTCTCTTCTCCTTCCAAGGCCAGACAGTAAGGAAAGGCATGGGGTGAATAAGCATGCAATAATGTCTGTGTGGCTGCTTTGTTTTCCATTCCAACCTTTCCTGCATGGACCTGACAGGGAACGCCAGAAGACAGAGGAGAGGTGGGGCACTAGAGAAAAAACACAGGATGGCCAAAGTCACGAACGATTGTCAAGGTAGAGAAGCCTATGGAAAAGAAACTATAGGAAGACCTTTTTGAAGGGAAACAGTTGTTGAAAGGTAGTAATAGGGGAAACACCCAGGATAGAGCAGGCAACTGAGAAGGAAACCATGGGAAGGGATAAGAGTAGGTGATCCATAGAAAGGAAGGGAAGGTAGGAACTCAGAGAAATGTGCTGACACCGATAAGAAAGAGACAGTGTTGGGAAAAGAAGGAAAAAGGCCAATCTGAAGGAAAGCGACAGGGTTAAAGCAGGCACTTGTTTAGTTCAGTCAACATCCGATCCATCCTGTTGTCTTCAATGGGCCTGGAGAGGTTCCTTGTGTAGGGTGAGAGTAGAACACATCTTGGCCACAAACCTCTGGGACAATCAAGCATGGCTTCTCCTTTCCACATGCTCTCTTCTATAAAGAGTGACCACGGTAGGTATGCTGGGCTGCCATGTGCTGATTTGGAAATGAACCCTGGAGCTCATGGCTGTGATCTTGATCTTGTTTTAAACTCCTCTCTGCATACATGGGGTTGCTCCTTGCAAGGTGCGTGACTTGCTCTGGTTTTGAAGGATGTGATGCTCACTGTCTACTTTTGCATCTGGAAGGCTACTGCTTGCAGTTTCGGCAGACCAGGAATGAAGTTCTGGAAGGAACAAGCAGACGGGATTCAGGAAAGAGGGACATTTTCTTTTCTCACGTGCTTAATGTTGTTACTTGGGAGTTCTTATGTGGTATCATGAGAGCTGGGACAGGCTCAGGGTTGAGCTGGTGCTAAGACAAATACTCTGCCCACCCTTTCTTCCAACAGCGAGCCCACACAGTGCACCATGCTGTATTCACGCCAGGGAACCACGGAAACCATCGAGGAGGTGGAGGCTGAGGCCGAGGAAGAGGTCGTGGACCCAGAGCCAGAGCTCGGTGATGCTGATGAGGAGTACATGGCCGAGTATGAAGCAGGAGTGGAAGAGGTCAGCCTCACTCCAGAAGAGGAATTGCCTCAGTTCTCCACTGATGATGGGGACGTCGAGGCCCCACCCTCCTACAGCAAGGCCGTCAGCTTTGAGCACTTGTCCTTTGGCTCACAGGATGACTCTGGTGTCAAGAACCACATGGTAGTCAGCCCAGATGACAGCCGCACTGACAAACTGGAGTCAAGTATCTTACCACCCCTGACTCATGAGCTGACGGCCAGTGAGCTGCTGCTGAACAAGTAAGAGGAGGAAGCAGACCAGAAGCCCTTGCCAAGAACCATCACACATGTAGGAGTGCACTGCAGTCAAACATACAGAAACTCCTGGACATGCAAGTACAATCCCAGGACTCACACTTTAGCACTGTGACTGCGTAACAGACAGCAAAAGCTGTCTAGGGATCTCTGTGCTGATACCTCTTTCTATACTAAGGTCTCAGACAGGTCGAACATCTCTAATCTGAAAATCCAAAATGCTCGAAAATCTAAAGTAGCTCAAAAAGTACCCACATGATACAGAAAGTAGATCAATTCATACCATGAAATTTGTTTCATGCATAAAACTATTTAAAATATTCAATAAAATTATTTTCAGGTTGTATGAATATAGTGTATATGAAACATGAATGAACTTCATGTTTAGAATTGATTTCCAAACCCAAGACATCTCATTATGTATGCAAATGGCTCAAAATCCGAAGATATTCAACATCTCTAATACTTCTAGTCTTGAGCATTTTAGACAAGGAATAGTCAATACGTATTAGGTTGTCTCAGATAGATAGATTAGATAGATAGATAGATAGATAGATAGATAGATAGATAGATAGATAGATAGATAGATAGATAGATAGATAGATAGATAGGATAAAAGATAGATAGATAGATAGATAGATAGATAGATAGATAGATGATAGACAGATAATAGGTAGATAGAGACTTAGAAGCAGATTGATAGATGCACACACATAGGAAGCAAGGGTAGGCACACAAGAAAGGTCATGCCCAATGAAATTCAGTAATTTGGAGAAATTGGAGACAAACGTCTCATCATTATTCTTTTGACAGGATGTTCCATGATGATGAACTTGAGGAATCTGAGAAGTTCTATGTGGACCAGCCACGGTTCTTGCTGCTGTTCTATGCCATGTATAACACTCTGGTGGCCCGCTCAGAAATGGTGTGCTACTTTGTGATCATCCTCAACCACATGATCTCTGCCTCCATCATCACCCTCCTGCTGCCCATCCTCATCTTCCTCTGGGCCATGCTCTCTGTCCCCAGACCTAGCCGGCGATTCTGGATGATGGCCATTGTCTACACTGAGGTAGGCCAATCCGTTCCATGCTCTACTTAGATTGGCAATCATTATCACCAACAGTTAACCAATTTTATAGTGATTTTACATGCCTCACACTTTGTATAAGGTAGACTCTGGTATCATTCTCAGTTAAAAACACAGGAGGAAACAGTGTCAGTGAGATTCAATAATTGATTCAAGGTTATACAACTTTTGGGGATGGGGCTTTTGAAGCCGCTTGTTAGATCTATATTAATCACCATGACTATAACAATATTTTACCAAATCAAACAGTAAAGCACTTCCCATCTAGTCGAATATAGCACATGTATTCTCCATTTTAAGCCTAAACTTCAGTTTCCATCCATTCCAACACATGATTATGATAAAAACACATGAAAACCTAAATGACAGGATGCCCTCAGCTATGAGGGATGAGGAGCACCTGCTGGTCAGAGGGGCTGTTTCCCATCCTGCCTGTGAAATACAGAAGACTGCAAAGTCCTGTGACAACCAGGGAATGGGCAGAGGTTCTCAGGCTGTGTGGCTTCACTTCTACAGTGGTCTGTGTGCTTGCATGTGTGGAGAAGGCCAAGTTTCATCCCTAACTTGTAGGGAAAAGTCTTCACTTTTCAACAGCACTATAATTACTGCTTATAGTACGGGGCTCATGATGGATGCACAGTTACAACCCAGAAATGTAGGTTTACAAATAATTCAAGTCAAACTAAAATAGGTGTTATAATAAATGATCTCAAAAGCAAGTGGTTGAAAGCATTGGTGTTTCTCTTGCCCATGATAAAGTGAAGAATATACAGATAAGTGCAAATCCATTACTCTAACTGATCTTCTCATCAAAGTCTCCAAAATAATCATTCCTGAGCACCACTTCTACTACATAGATCACTCCCTGCTTAGGCAGAGGTACCATTCTCTAGCACCACACCCCTCCATGTAGGAGAGTTTCTCAGATCTCTCTCCTTACTTAAGTGACTCATATAAGGAACCAAGATAGTTCAAAAAGGCAAGAGATATTTACACAGCTCTCATGTTAAAAAATAAAAATGTTCTTAGGTTTAGGGTTAGGTTGAAGTAAGTGGGAGTGTCACCCGAATTCCCTCTGGGTCTCCTGCGTGATCAGACAAACCATATAATATATTTTATGTGCATTTATTAACTTAAAAAGGAATGAGAACCCAGTGCCTAGCCCCACGCCTCCAGTGGCACGGCTCAGAGCCCGCCATATCAGACCATACCACAACTACCACAGTCACCGCTAGCATTTGCTCATACCTCGGGCCAGCAATCTGGCCCCAGGTCCACAATAGTCAGTCCATTCTGTCCTTGAGCTGCTGAGGCTGGCTGCATGTTCCCCACACCACAGCTCGTGGCTTCTGTCCCAAGATGGCTCCCAGCAGCCCCTTCATAGTCCACACTCTGTGTCAGGCCCCGCCCATCAGAGGAACTAGCCAATTGGGAGACAGGGAGAAAAAGTTGGCATTCCTTCACAGTGTAATTTGAACCCTGTGCCAAAACACAAGAGCTCTCCTGGGCATGAGGATAAAAGCAGGAAAAAGTTGTTTCTAGTTTTCAGTGACTCAGAGATATAAATGTAGCTGGCAGACACAGTAGAGGGGAAAGTCAATACCATATACATCAAAACTGCATGGTGTGGGGCTAGGATGTGGAGTTGGTAGAGTGCTTGCCTAGCGTGCACGAAGCTCTGAGTTTGATCCCCAGCACCACATAAACTGCCAGTGGTGGCCCATACCTGTAGTCCCAGCACTCTGGAAGGTGGAGGCATGAGGAACAGAAGTTCAAGGTCTCTGGAGTTTGAGGCTGGCCTGGGCTACATGAAACCCTGTCTCAAGAAGGAAGAAGAGGAAGAAGAGGAGGAGGAGGATAATAATAGCAGGCTGAGCTCCACCTTAGAACCAAAACAAACACACAAACAAAACCTGCAACCTCCATAAGTGCATGACATTTCAAAAAATTACAAATTAAAGAATATATAATAAATATGTATAATTTAATATTCAAGTTTGTGTTAACTTGAATATTTTAATAGCTGAATAATTACACAAATCCCTAGTTAAGTCAAAAGCAGAGAAAATGACCCCATCATTCAGGTGGAGCCACAAGTTGCCCAGTGGCTTTGCTTTATCTGCAGCAGACAATCTTGACAATACAGCATTGCTCTTGTTCTGGATATGAAATACATATTGCCAGTACTCTAAACCATGTATTTTAGCGATCATAATAATATAGTAATAATAATGTATTACTCCACATAACTATGAGTATTTGTACCATCTAAACTGTGCAGTTAATATCTTTCTTAATTGTATATCATTGTTTCCTGTATATTGCTGATCCTAAAAGGAATAACTGTTTTTATTTCTATCATCCCCACATAGGTGGCAATTGTAGTCAAATATTTCTTCCAATTTGGGTTCTTCCCTTGGAACAAGGACATGGAATTAAACAAGGACAAACCGTACTTCCCCCCAAACATCATAGGAGTGGAGAAGAAGGAAGGCTACGTCCTTTACGACCTCATTCAGCTCCTGGCTCTGTTCTTTCATCGCTCCATTTTGAAGGTACTGATGCTAAGTTGATCAGCTTGTGTTGAAAAGTCCAGTCTCTAAAAGTTTTGGAGAACCTGAGCATTAGGATTGGTATTGGTGATGGGGCCAATGGGCCATGAGTAGAGTTGAGCATATCATAATACCCCACATTTATGGAGCATTGATTGAGTCAGGCACAGAATCATTTAACACTCTTTTAAGTCAGAACCTCAGAGAACGCTTAGAGATGGGCTCACTTGTCCTCTCTTCTGTATCACAACTTGTTCCTGCCTTCTTCTGGTAATATTACTTTTACCAGATAGTCTCTTATCATGATGCTACAAGCTTTCACTGAAAGGCCATGTCAGGTAAAGCCCAGGGCTATGCCTACATAGGCTCACTGTTGAGGTAGCTGTTGATCTCATGGCCCTAGAAAGACCTCTGCCAGGAAATCTATCCCAGATACAGTAAACATGTGCCCTTATGAACAGCTATGTAGGTTTTTTTTTAATTCTCATACACTACAAATTATAAATAAAGCTAGAAATATGTCATTCCAGTAATTGTGTACAAGTTACATATGTCATTCCAGTAATTATGTACAAAATAGCTTATAATTTTGTACTACTATGCCTATCTTCACCTTACTTTCCTCCTGTTTACCTTGTTTCCTTTTATAAAGTATCATCAAAGCCTTTATCAGTCCTTAGGAGAATCCCTTTAAAAACAAGGCTTGGAGGTGTGTGTGTGTGTGTGTGTGTGTGTGTGTGTGTGTATGTGTGTGTGTGTGTGTGTGTGTGTGTGTGTATTGCAACCCAACTTGCCTAGAACTCACTATGTAGCCTGAGATAGCATCATGATCCTTCTGCCTCAGTCTCCTAAATGCTGGGTCACAACCATGTACCACTGTGTCCAGTTTTCTTGCCCTATTAAGTGTGACTCACAGAGAGGAACAGGCCAAACCTTTGGGAATAATTGCACATCCAGACATTCTAGAGCTCAAGAGATGAGCTAACTGGAACACTTCACATACAAAGAAAGCCACCCTACAAGTCATGCTTGGTCCAAACAGGATCTTGCTCCTAAAAGCCCACGGGCTTCCCAGCCTCCTGATCTGTACACATTCTTCTCTCTTTACCAACTCTCTATCTTATTTTCCTGAAGCATTAACCAGGCTCTGCAGAAGAGAGAATCTTTGCCTTAATATGGTCAACAATTTTTTGAGTAGAATATTTGAGCCAGCCTTGGGTAACCCAGGGTTCACCTCACCATGGGGGCTGGGCAAGGGACAGTATCAGCCTGCAAAGTTGAGACTATAGGTGAACATGGAGTGCTGAGGCTGAACCCACCCAAGAGTATATAAGTGAGATACTTCTGGTGCTAGGTGTGAGCACACAGATGTGTTCTAGAAAGTACTTTCATTCAAGGAACAAATCAAGAAGTTATCATTTCATCCTGATTTCATCTGCTTAACTCTACCTGTCTGGTTGCAGTTAATTAGCCAAGCCCTTGCCATCAACAGCCATCTCCACCCTCCTGGGACACATGCAGAGTTCTACACAAACATCTTTAGACTCCCTTCCCTTGGTTTTCCAATTCCAAGAGGCAGTATGCTGCAGTTGATACTGGAAGACAGACTGCCAGCTGACCCACCTGAGATGCCGTCCTCAGCTGTCACTCTCTCTCTCTCTCTCTTGCCTTCTCAGTGCCATGGCTTATGGGATGAGGATGACATTGTTGACAGTGGCACAGACAAGGAAGAGACTGATGATGAGCTGTCCCTTGGTCATGGCAGAAGAGACTCCTCAGACTCGCTGAAATCTATCAACCTGGCTGCCTCCGTGGAGTCTGTGCACGTGACCTTCCCGGAGCAGCCAATAGCCATCCGGAGAAAACGCTCCTGCAACAGCTCTCAGATCTCCCCAGGGTCCAGCTTCTCCTCAAACAGGTCCAAAAGAGGTATCTGTCATGTGGCATGTAGACTGAAATAAACACCACCTAGGCAGTCTTGTTTTTCTGGCGCCTCTGGGTCTGAGGAGGAGAGTGGTTGAGTACTGTCAAGAGAAGACACTATAATATGGAAGGAATGAACTCTGGTATCAGACAGACCAGAGTTCAGATCCCACCTCAGCCATGTAGATTTATTGCTCATGACAACTGAGTCCTTCCAGAACCAGGGTTTCATATAATACTGAAAGGCAGCCAGCACATGGCCTGGTGTCTAGCAGTGTGAGGCACATGATAATTTATCCACCATCAGTAACAATTCTTCTGGATGTGTCCAGAGTACTACAAATCATAACACGTTTTAAAAATTGATTTATATTTAATCAGACTTTTTGTGCACAGTACTGGTGGTTGAACCAGGGACCTCACACATAGTATGCTAGGTAAGTGCTCTCGCTCGCTCTCTGAGCTATAATTTCTAGCTCTTCCTTTTATTGATTTTTATTTTGAGATATGATCTTGCTAAATTTCCCAAGTTAGGGGGCTGGAGAGATGGCTCAGCAGTTAAGAACACTGTTCTTGCAGAAGACCGTGGTTCAAATCCCAGCACCCACATGGCAGCTAACAACTGTCTGTAACTCCAGTCCCAGGGGATTCGACAGCCTCTTCTGACCTCTGCAGGCATTGCACGACATGGATGCACTTACCTATATGCAGGCAATACACACATACACATAAAATAATAAATAATTTTTTTTAATTCCCAAGCTAGCCTTGAACTCATTCTATAACCTGAGTAGGTCTTGAACTTTTAATCCTCCTGCCTGAGCCTCCCAAATAACTGTGATTGCAAGCCTGTGCCACAAAACCCAGCTTTAATGGGAACTTTTAACAAAACTACTACTTCCTAAGTTAGTTAATAATTTCTTACTAAAGAGTAAGTATGATCAGAAAAGTAGATATGGCCTTTAATTGCTACCCTGGGAATAACTGAGCCTTTGTATTTATGAGGCTCATGTCTGAAGCTTCCAGAACACTCAACACTCAAGCATTCATCTTCAGCACCCATTTTTGAGGCTGACACTGGCAGACCAGTTCATATTAGTTTTACAGTTGGAGAAATTAGGATATAAAAATAGGTTTGGGTCTCAAAAACCTGGAACCTAGGCCTCTGTGAATACAAGCGAAACTCTTCTCCCACGTGCTTCTTCCTGAAGAAAGGTTGCAGAGCCATGTAGAGAAGATCCCCTGGGTGTGAACCCACAGGTCTACTTCAGTCAGGTGACAGGCTGGAGTGGTCAGCCTCTTAAACACTCAGTAGTATTCTTAAATCCATCTGTGCTCTGCCACCTCTGGAACAAAGGAAAGCCAACCCTGCAGCAAACAAATGTGATTCCTATTGACAGATCACTCTTCACCTCCAGCCTGTGACTTTTTCCATCCCCTACTGTTTCTAGGTAGCACAAGCACCCGTAACAGCAGCCAGAAAGGAAGCAGTGTTTTGAGTATTAAACAGAAAAGCAAAAGGGAGCTTTATATGGAAAAACTTCAAGAGCATTTAATCAAAGCAAAGGCATTTACCATTAAAAAGTGAGTACTGCAGAAGCATTTGGGCCGTATGCTATGCTTGTCTGGAGCTGGGGAACCAGTATCAATGATTTCCTACAAACCAGAGGCAAAGAGCTCCAAAGCCACTTCTCCTGTCATGAACACCACCTGTTACATCAGGATAAAATGGCCCATGGCTGTATTGTTTTAGAAACTGATTTTTAATAAGGGCATAATTCAAGGGTTCAAGGTATATACTTTCAGGCATTGCTTCCAAAAGTCCATCCAGTCAGAGAGGAGTGTGATGCCCACATTGGACAGAGAGAGGGTTTGGAGGCGTACAGGCAAGCAGCTTATCCAATATCCTATGGCTAGTCCCCGGTAAGTTTACAGGTCCCTCCCTGTAAAATGCAAAGAGGCAGTGTCCAAGAACCAGCATAGAAGAAGGCACAACAGGACTGGGATTCTAAGATGGGATCCAAGCAAGGGCCAGACCTGAGTACATGTAGGCCCAGACCAGAGGGACCAGCAGCACCTGAGCATAGCCTTGATTTGAAGCCAGAACCCAGAGCACAGTGAAGACAGGGTAGAGGCTTGAAGGACAAGCCAGAGACAGGAAGACAAGTGGTAATGACAGAGCAAAAAGGATATGAAAGCCCAAGGCAGTACCGAGGAGCCATGAGGACATAGAACCTCAAATCAGAAGGGACAAGAGGCAACTGACATTCATACATGCTCAGACCCAGCCCTCTAAATTGTAGCATTCTCTCATATGCTCCCTGCCTTGGTCATGTCCTCACCCACATTTTACACAGGCAGGATAAAATGCTGAGTTCTGCAGCACAGGCTCATGGATAGTAAATAGCTGAACCCCCAGCACCTGGCTTCTAGGGCTTTATGATGCTCTGTTATGCTTCACACAAGGGAAGGGGGTCATGATTCCCTCCACAACAAGCCTGGCATATCTGCTTTGGCAATAAACTCATCACTCCTTGAGCAAGGGCCACTCCAAAGGACTCTCCTGAGGCTGATAGAGAAAGATGGGTCCTGGCTAGGAAGAGGAGCCTCAGGAATGGAATGAGCATGGGGCACAGTCATTCTCACTTCCTATCCTGAAACAAACTGACTTGTCTTGCAGGACTCTACAAATCTATGTGCCCATCCGACAATTCTTCTATGACCTCATCCACCCAGACTACAGTGCTGTGACCGATGTGTATGTGCTGATGTTCCTGGCTGACACTGTGGACTTTATCATCATTGTCTTTGGCTTCTGGGCCTTTGGGGTAGGTTGGGGCAAAGGTCTCCATCCATCCACTGACTAAGAGGAATAACTTTGCATTCTGGAAGTGTATTCTGGCTGAGCCTGCACTCTCTTCCCCAGAAACACTCAGCAGCTGCAGATATCACCTCTTCTCTATCAGAAGACCAGGTCCCTGGGCCATTCCTGGTGATGGTTCTCATTCAGTTTGGAACCATGGTGGTCGACCGTGCGCTCTACCTCAGGAAGACTGTGCTAGGCAAAGTCATTTTCCAAGTCATTCTCGTGTTTGGGATTCACTTCTGGATGTTCTTCATCTTACCCAGTGTGACTGAGAGGTAAGGTCTTCCCCCACAGAGACCCAAGGAGAAGCACCACAGTTACAAAGTGAAAGGTGGGGTGGGGGTGGGGGTTCTTTCAAGTTGAGTACAAATCCCAAGTGTGAATTGTTACTTCACGGTACTTTAACCAGATTTCATCCACATTTGCAGAAACAAAGGCAAGCCAACGATGCTTGGGTTGCATTTGTCTCTACAACCTGGTCAATATCAACTGGAACTGAATTTGGTCATAAGTGCACTATTCAGAGAGGAAGAGCACATGAGACAATGTCATATGAGAAACTGATGAAAATAGAGGATGCTCAAATGGTTGAAGAAAATGTGGAAGAGTGGCAAGGGGCAGGTGATAGTATTTGCCATACAGGATGATAATGGAACCTGACAAACTCCTGGAAATCACATGGTAGGGGACTAGGAAGAACTGTTTATGACCAGATGTTACTTCTGTTGATAGAACTGTTGCTGATGATTAGTGTACTTGTTAGTTTTTTGGTCAACTTGATGCAAACTAGAGTCACCTGGGAAGAAGGAAACTCATTTGAGGAATCCCCTCAATCAGATTGGCCAATGGCCATGTCTATGAGAGATTTTCCTGATTTATGATTCATGTAGGAGGGCCCAGCCCACTATGGTAGGCCTGGGCTGTATAAGTTAGCTTAGCATGAGCCAGGGAGCAAGCCAGTAGTAAGCAGTGTTCCTCCATGGTCTCTGCTTCAGCTCCTGCCTCCAGGTTCCTGCCTTGAATTTCCATCCTGATTTTCATCAATGACAGACTGTGACTTGGGGGTGTAAGACAAATAAGCCATTTCTTCCCCAAGTTGCTTTTGATCAGAATGTTTTATCACAGCAACAGAAAAGCAAACTACAACCATTAAAAAGGTCTGAGAGTTGGGATAAGTGAGTTTACAAGGGGCACCTTATGTTGGGCACACCTATAATCCAAGCATTCAGGAATCTGAATCAGGAGGATCAGGAATTTGAGGCTAGTCTGAGCTGCACAGCAAAACTCTGTTTCACAAATAAGGCAGCCTGGAGTTTACTAAGAGAAAGGCGATAAGAAGCTTGAAGGTAGCAACTGGTTTTCCTTTGCCACCTAGAGAGAGACGTTGACCTTCACTTCCTTGGTAAAATGAGTTCTCTGACACCCCAAAATCTCTTCTACTCCCTCCCCTTCCTCCTCTCTCCTCCACCTCCAATTCACAGCTCGTCTCTCTCCTCTGTCTTTTCTCCTACATGGTCTCTACCTCGAACAGATCTTATGACCAAGTTAGTGTTAATTGTGTCAACAAATAACTTGGTCAATCAATAAAAGAAAAGAAAAGCAGATTATTATAAACAGAAGACACCCACTGTGTAGGTTATAGGGAAAATGGTCCTCGTAGGATGAATGTGGAAGTGTCTGGATGATGCAATGTAACTAGGCTTTTTAATAAAGAGATTGTAGTTTATATATACAGGCATGGTGTAACTCTGCCACTGGCTTGAGCAGCTGTGTTCCCAAGCCAATGATGCTGCATCGGACCCTCTCAGACTTCGACTTGCTATTTTAAACATCCTCGGTATCATTGAAAGTCTTCATGTACAATAGCAAATTTGATCTTTTTTGTTTGTTTGTTTTGCTTTGTTGAGACAGGGTTTCTCTCTAGCCCCAGGCTGACCTGGAATTCCCTATGTAAACCAGGCTAGCCTTGATCTCACAGAAATCTAGCTGCCTCTGCCTCCTGAGTGCTGGGATCAAAGGTGTGCACCACCGGGCCTGGCCCAAATTTGATCTTTTGACTAAACCTCAGAACCATCATTAGTCAAGTCATATGAACAACCTATACCTTAGGCTGGCTAATAATACTCAGGAAGAGTATATAGAAAATAATGGAAAATTGATTTAATTTCCATGGCACATATGGAAACTGACTCAGTTGTAATGTCTAATGAGGAAATTCAAAGTGATCCAAAAAAGGGCTAGAGCTCTCTAGATCAAACACTTGGTCTCTGAACTTTCCATTTAGTCCCGTATAGGAGTTATACTGTAAAATGATAAACTACGATGGTGCAGGAGGAAAAAAGGATTGGAAGGATCATCCTGACTCTAAGTAGACATAAATATAAAAAGGACTGTCATCCAGAAGACACCCAACAGACTAGTAAATTCTCTATCCCACTTTCTATAGTGAGACAGGAAACCTCATAAGAATAATTCAATTAAGGCAGCTATTCTATACAGATATTAGAATTTGTAAAAATGTGAATTTTGTTAGTTTTTAATGTAAAATAAATATTTTCAACAAATATTTAATAATATCTGTGCCTCAACTAGAAGAAATAAACCAAATTCAATGCCCAAAGTATATGATTGATGAAGTATTATACAAAATGCACAAAAAAATCAATTAAAAAAATCAGAAAAAAGCATCAAATAGACCTTTTCCACCAGCCAATACAGAAATTCCTAATTTCACAGGAGAGACCTTAAAAAGCTTTCTAGGGGTTGGAAAGATGGCTTAGCAGTTAAGAGCACTAGCTGCTCTTGCAGAAGACCCTGGTCCGATTCCCAGCACCCACATGGTGACTTAACAACCATCCTTAACTCTAGTTCTAGTGACTACGATGCCCTCTTCTGACCTCCTCAGGCATTGAACAACACAGGTACACTTACATACATGCAGGAAATACACTCATAGAGATAAAATAAAAATAATAAATAAAATATAAAAAAGCTTTCTAGACTCACTATGTAATTTCATAGCTTAAGATGAATGAACCCATAGATAAAATTGGTATCTTCAGTTATTGAATCAGTTCTGAAGATGCCAGATTCTAGTCCCAGTCCTCTCAGACCTCAAACTTGTGCATTATCCACTATATCCCATTTCCCCACCCCATAGAAAGCATCCCACACTTGTTATTTTGCTTTGAAGTACTTTTTTGAAAAATGAATTTACTATGCTGCCCTGTCTGGCCCAGGACTTACTACACAGACCAGGCTGGCCTTGAACTTGAAGCATACTAGCTCCTCTGACTCCCAGGTGCTAAAGTTACTTGTGTGCCCCCATGCACTTTTTTCAAAGATTTTTAAAATTTAAGCCAACTATCTCTTCCATTTTGGAATGAACAAGGGCTCTGAGTTGATTCTATAGGAGCACTCCAAGGCCCAGAGGTTGAGTTTCCACCACATCCTGGTCTGTAGTCCACAGACACCAGTGCTTCCAGAAACAGATCCACAAGGCCCCAGAGTAACTCCAGAGGGATTTAATCACTGATCTGGTTGTTCCTGCTCATGTGAGTGTCTTTTTGCTCCTGCAACAGACTGCTCCATGTCCCATGGCTTAAAACAGAACAAGTTCATCAGCTAACCGTTCTGCAAGACAGGAAGTTTCACCTAAGTTCACTGGACCAAAGCTACCGTGTTGGCAGAGCTACCTTTCTTTCTAAATGATCCAGGGGAGAATCTCTGTCCCAGCCTTTTCCCATTGTTGGAGGCTTCTGATATTTCTTGGCTGATGGTCCTTTCTCGTGTTCAAAATCAGATTAATAGATCAGGTCCTTTTCACCTGGTATCATTCTCAACCTTCCACTGTGGATCTCCCCTGGGCCACAGCTGAGCATCATCCTCTTAGGACTCTGTGATTTGGAATAGGCCCATGTGGGTAACCCAGGATAATCTTTCCATTACTAGATCCTTGATTTCAATCATAGTACAAAGTCCCTTTAGGCAAGTGAGCCACTAGTTCCATGGATTAGGTCATGTACATCTTTGGGACATGATTCTGTCTGCTCCATTACTCTACCAGTCTTTTGAAAAGATTAACTGCATGGCAGCAATGCCTTCTAGTCCAGAGAGCAGATGTTTGTAACAGAGGGGTTTGAACAATGCAGCCCTCCTGAAGATGTCTCCCGCATGCTCATGCCTTTGTTTTGCAGTGCTAGAGAGGGAACTTGGGGCTGGGACTGGGCTAGGCAGACACTCTACCACAGAACTATACCCCAGCCTGCAGTGCATTATTTTCATTGTTTGAGCACCTTCATTACGATAGCTCAGAAAGAAGTCACTCCATGTTTGAGTAACACTTGCTATATTCATAATTTATTGTGAAGAGTGGACATTCATCTGTACCTCTGAGCTCTGTGTGTCCCTCTTCCTGTCTCCATGTGGTTAGCCCTGACTGACCTACATTAAGTCTTTAAAGATCACTTATTTCAGGACACCTTCCCTGGCACACAGACTAAGCTAGATGTCTTTCCTCTGTGTTCCAGATGTCCTTTCTTTGCATCACTGTAACAAAATACCTAAGACAACCAACTTATAAGGAAGAAAACTTAATTTTATTTTAGCTTACAGTTAGAGATAGGCCATAATGGTGGCGAAAGCATGGAGGCAGGGCAGGAAGCAGAGAAATAACAGTTTATCCACACATAGGAATCAGAGAGTGAGAACAGGAAGTGAGGTGAAACTATAACTCTTAAAGCCTACCCAGTGATTTACTTCTCCAGGAAGGTTCCAATTCTTAAAGGCTTCCTAACTTCCCTTAACAGATCCACCAACTGGGGACCGAGAGTTCAAATACATGACTCTAAGGGGACACTTTTTATTCATCATCTTCATCATCTTACTGTTGCTATGGGTCAAATCTTAATCAAATTATATGCCTTAAATATATTCCTTTTATTGCATTAGAATTATGCCTCAATAAAACTATTAAACAAAGATAATTCATTGTTTTCAAATGTGAGTTTATATGTGAACATATTCCCAGTTTTCTTTTGGCAGCGGTAAGAGGACAATTAATGAGTCTCTGTGGTGTGTCAGGCTAAGCAATCTATATATCTCATTTAATTCTCATACCGTCATTTAGCATGAGAAAACTGAACTTAAGTGTGTTGGTTGGACATAGTCACTAGTAGGTATAGAAAACAAGTTTGCTATTTTTCCTTGTGCTTTTCAATTATGTTGTCCGTGTGTTTACTTTTGGGGTGCTGAGCCTTGATCTCAGGACCTTACACATTTTTTAAATATTTTATTTATTATTTTTATTTTATGTGTATGAGTGTTATGCCTGCATGTATGTAAGTGCACCCATATCATGAAATGCCCGTGGAGGACAGAAGAGGCTATCAGATCCCCTGGAACTGGAGTTATGGACAGTTGTTAGCTGCCATGTGGGTGCTGGGATTTGAACCCAGGTCTTCTGCAAAAACAGTGTTCTTAACCACTAAGCCATCTCTCCAGCCTCAGGACCTTACACATTGTAAGCACATTCTGCCAGTGAGCTATAATCCCAGCCCCTGTGATTTCTTATTAACCTATGAACTAGGCTTACTGATTGCCCAGATGTGGCATGTCTTTAAAAGTCTCTCCCAAGAATATTAGTAGAATAAACAGTCTCCAGGGACTCTACCAGTGGTTCCATATTTGCCTTCTAAAGTCTCCATGATTGGGTTAAGCTGGGAGCATGGGGGGAAGTCGGGAAGCTGAGGGGAAGATGGTCATCAGCACTCTAAACAGAAGCTAAGAACATCATCTAATCTTCCTGGCTCAGTGAAGAAGAAGGCAGAAATTTTTGTGGACTTCCCCTGTCAAAAGGAAAATGAATGGAACAGTGAGATCATAAAGTAAAAAAAGTAGCCAGCTGTCAACAGTAGAAACAAGGAATGACTATGCAAGATGTTCTTTCAAGTCCCACTCTAAGGTGGTATGAATTTAGACTTCTAGGAACTCTTTGGTTGACAACACAATACACAACAACTTGGGATTCCTGTCACATGAGAATAGCAGCTCTCCAACAATAAAAGCTTGGCAAAGTATCCTGGACTCCCAGAGGCTTCACCTGGCCAGTTTGTAGACATCAACAACAGAAGAGTTCTTATTTTCAATTTTTAGAAGTGGTGTGCTCTGGGACTAGAGAGAAGAGTTAGTGGTTAAGAGCACCAGATGGTCTTGTAGAGGACCCAGGTTCAATTCCCAGCACCCATATGGTGATTAACAACCATCCGTAACTCCAGTTCCAGGGGAATCCAATGCCCTCTTCTGACCTCCGTGGGTATTGCACAACACAGGTGCACTTACACACATGTAGACAATACACTCATAAACATAAAATAAAAAATAATAAAGAAAATTTTAAAGTGGCGTGTTCTAATAAAATTAAAAGTCAGGCAAGTCCAGACACAAAGAGTAATATGCTGCTTATATAAAACCAAAACAAAACCTTCATGAATTACTTTTAATTTTAATGCTAAAGGCATAATACTAAGTTCTCATCAAATCAAAGTCTTATTTAACTCCTTTTAAAATTTGTGCTAATTAGGAACAGAGAGATGGCTCAGAGGTTAAGAGCACTTGCTGTTCTTGCAGAAAACCCAGGTTTGTTTCCCAGGACCCACACCACGGCTCACAATCACTATAACTCTACTTCCATAAGATCCTATGCCCTGTTCTGGCCTCCATGGGCTCTGGCATGCATGTGGTACACATAAGCTCATGTAGGCACATATACATACACATTAATAAAAACATAAATAGATAAATCTTTTCCTGATTTTTGCTAACCCTGCTTGAAGAAGACAGCATGTAGCCGGTATTTAAAATGATGCGTGCATAGCTCATAATTCTTTGAGGATGTATACCAATTCTTTTTTCTAATATGAAATGTTCTCCTACTAAATCACCACTCAAGCAACATGCACTCATGCCTTGGGTAGCACTTGCTCTTGTGCTGATCATCCGTCTACAGAAAAGGCTGCTGTTGAGAACAGTGCTTCACAAAGGGAGGTCGTTTTTGTCATGTTGCCATAGATTTTTCAGAGGAAGGGTGAATTTTCTTCTGAGAATTTATGGCTCTGGGAACAAACTCTGTCTCTTATGAATAGTACCAGAGACTAAAAAAGTTGTATGAATCAACTGCTTGTTTCTCAACATGTATAGTAAAAACAAATTCTGGGTCCCTTTAAATAAAAATATACTTTGTTTAAAAATAATCTTTTAACTACAGTACTTATCTCATCTACATTATAAGAAAATGTTTATTAACAAATTCACTCAACAATAATATAAAAAATAATAATAATGCACCAGAAAAACTCTAGAACGTATATTTTTCTTTCTTAATTATTAGATTTCTTACCCTATCTTTTGCCTTGGGAGTAATCTATTATATAGAGAGAATTCTTAAGAATTGTCTTTAAGGGACTGGAGAGATGGCTCAGCAGTTAAGAGCATTGGCTGCTCTTGCAGAGGACCTGGGTTTGGTTCCCAGCACCCACATGACAGCTAGCAGCCATCTGTAACTCTAGTTCCAGGGGTATCTGACACCCTCTTCTGACCTCTGTGGGCATTACAAAACATGGGTTCACTTACATGCATGGAAGCATACATTCATACACATAAAATAAAAATAATAAATAAAAGACTTTTTTAAAGCTGTCTTTAAGTGACAGGGTGGAAGTTTGTTTGTAATTCTAAACTGTTGTCTTTTTTTACAAGAGAAGTTGCCCATTCCTTCACTTTCTATATTTTTGCCTTTTAGGAAATTCAGTCAGAACCTGGTGGCTCAGCTTTGGTACTTTGTGAAATGTGTGTACTTTGGGCTCTCCGCCTATCAGATCCGCTGTGGCTACCCAACACGCGTGCTTGGAAACTTTCTCACAAAGAGCTACAATTATGTCAACCTCTTCTTGTTTCAAGGGTGAGGACTGTCTTGTCATGGTCACTGATAGAATGGAAGCTGCTGAGGAAGCTGCTGAAATGCCTTATTTCCTCCACACCGGGGCACTTTCACGGGGTCTGTGGAACACATGTGTCCTCTTTAAAGCCTGTCCATGTGTACTCACTGCATATCTGGCCAGGATGTTGTCCTAGGATCATCTACGTTGGATTAATTTTCATTTTAGTAACTTGCCTAATTACCACAATAGTGTTTAGGGATTAAAAAGTAGGGATGCATCATCCTTAAGTATTACTATACTTCTGGATATAGTGGACCAGAATATTTGGAATCTGGACCATTCCAAAAGACCTCTGAAGTTCTTTGTGTGTGGTACGTACATCCATGAAGAAGGCTGAGTGCCACTGATGGAGTTTCTGATAGTCAGCTCAGCAAATAGGTCTCATTAATTCCTCCATTCCCTGATTTCTGTGGAAATATCTCCCCTGCAGTTCCCTAAAAGTTATACCTTGGTTTAAGAGATAAGACGACTGAAGGCCCTGCTGTCTTCTCCACGGCACAAGACCTGGTGAAGTCCTAATCAACCATTTGTTGATCAGTGCTCCATTCATTTCTGCTCTGGTCCTGGGTCTGATATTTCTTCCAGACGTTGGAGTACCATTCAATCCACAGAGCTGAAATAGCCCAGGGAAGGATTTTTGAGTGATAACAAAATTGCTGTTGGAATCTAAAATGAGCCCAAGCTCTCCAACCTTAGAGAAGATATCTATAATTCAAGGAACATGAAATATTCCTGAGAGCCAGCTGGAATCCACACCAACCCATTCCTCAAAATAGCTGAAATACAAGAGACCACAGCAGAAAGCCTCAGTAATCCAGCAAGCCAGTCACCGTGGTCCTTCCCTTTCTGGCCCCTCCCTTGTCTTTCCCATTTGTCCTCATCTTTTTCTTATTACATGTATACTCTGTATTGACTCATCCATTAACAAAGTCACAGTAATTCAGCAACCCTCTGTCCAACTGGTCCTCATAGTACAAACACATGAAAGAAACCAACGCAACACCAACTCTTTTACAATGGAGTTCCAGCTGGTTACAACCATCAGGGAAAATAACAGGAATGAAAAATACTAACCCGTATTCTAGATTAATAATGAAAAGCAGTTGTATTCCAAGTTGGATTTTAGTGTGATAGTTGCCTTGAGAGTCTTTCTTAACTCATGGGGTTTAAAATAAACTGTTGATTGAATGCCTGAGGTGAGGTAGACATTGGGGCCATCCCACAAACATCTCTCTGACAAGGTGCGGTTCCTGGCAGGTTCCGCCTTGTTCCATTTCTGACAGAACTGCGGGCTGTGATGGACTGGGTATGGACAGACACGACTTTGAGCCTCTCCAGCTGGATTTGTGTGGAGGACATTTACGCACATATTTTCATCTTGAAGTGTTGGCGGGAGTCGGAAAAGGTGAGAAGCCAGTGAAAGTGCCTCTTTCCTGTTTGTTTCTCTTGGGTACAGGTCTGTTACAAGATTAATGTGGATGCTGCATGTTTTGTGGCCAAACAAATGGAGGCATGGGACAAAAACTGCCATGACCTATAAATACTGCATTGATTTCCAACCCACAGGGATTGGGGATTTTAAATTGACTTCTGCCTTTGTCAGTGATAGCAGCCAGATGTTTTCTTTCTTCAGCAATAGTATACTGTAATTGTTCTAAAATGATGTGCTGCCCCATGACCCAGGTGCCCATGAATACCTGCTGGGGAGCAGAGGAAGCAGAGTGCAGAGAAAAGGGGGTCAGGGAAGCTCAGACTTAGCTCATCTTCTGCTTCACTCTGTAGGAATGAGGGATGGAAGCTTTAACCTCTCTGTGCAAGGGAAATTAAAGAACATGTTATTCTACTAGGTTAAGGACTACGATTCAAGTATAAATTGGATACTTTTAAAGTTTAGCATATGAAGCCCAAATACCTTGTGCAAGAGTGCTAAAAACACACAACCAACAGTACCCAGGGAATAGGAAATGTCTTACTTCAGAACTGGCCTCTTCGGAATGCTCTTTGGAACAGTCTGCTGTAATGTATATAAAGTTGAGAATGCATTCCCTGCTTCCCCTGGGCATATAGCTCTGTAGTTAGGAAGTCACTGTGTGCTTTGACATCTATGTTTATTAGGTTTATGGAACCCAAGGTGATGAGACCTATTGGTGGGGAGAGGACAGAGGCCCAGCGCCACACTGCCACCCTCAACAACCTGAAACATGCCCTCAGGCTTTTAGGCACTGCCAAAGCAGGATTCATGGTTTGATGCTGAAAAGAATTTCAGGACTTTATGATAAAGCAGAGTTGGAGATTTTATTAAAGATATTTTAAAACAGGCTTCAGCACAGAGGACACTCTTGAGTGAGAGCATAGTTGTGCCCCACCCCAGGACAGAGTGAGCAGTTGCTCAGCACTAGTCAGGTATAGCCTTTTGGTGACTCTCAAGTTACATCTCAGAAGTTCACTAGGGAACTTCTTTTTTCATCTTGTTTTTTTCTTTTGATAAGTGAGATTCTAGGGTCACTCTGAGGATGCTGCGGATGGGATTGCAATCTGACAAAATAAAACTAGAAGCCACTAAAGCTACACAAACTGTTTAGTACATGTCCTTTCCCTGTCAATGGGGATTCTGATGAACATCCTAGAAAATTGCATGTTTGTGGCTGGGAAGGAAGAAGGGTCCTAAGTAGTTGATAATTCTTGCTTCACTGCTGACGAAAGGCTTCAACCAGACTCTAGGTGAGGGGCTCCTTTTCCTTTTCACGGCCCCAAGATCTTCCATACCTTTCTAACTTGCCTTGGGACGTAGCAGTGTTCTTAAAGCCTTATTAGCTTGTTCTTATTTTTTATTCATCTTTATTTTATTTTTTCAGATTGTATTTATTTTTTTACTTTGTGTGTCTGAGTTGTATTTCCTGCGTGCATGTAAGTGCAGCCATGTCATGCAATATCTGCAGAGGTCAGAAGAGGACACCGGATCCCCTGGAACTAGAGATACAGACAGTTGTTGGCCACCGTGTGAGTGCTGGGAAATGAACCTGGGTCCTCTCCAAGACCAGCCAGCACTCTTAACTGCTGAGTCATCTCTCTACCTCCCTTAATTTTTCATTGGACTTTTGCAAAGTTTATACAATATATTTTGATCATATTTAGATCCCCTCCTGTATCTACACCCCCTTACTAGACCCCCACTAAGTTTCCATAATCTAATATATACATATAATATATATTATATAATATATAATATATTATATAT